TGCAATGCCGTCGCTGTTGCATTGAACAATGGTTTCGAATGGCTGCTTTCATACTTCGGCTTGCGCGCCGGCTCGCTGTTGGACACGGCCGTACATTTAGAAGTGGGGTGCGAGCGGCTATGCGCGACGGCGGCCATATCCAAGCGTGTGATAGCATCCATCTTCGATTTGCGGTATCGATTGGTACCCGCTGCTGTCACGCGCTTGGATAGGGCCGCTGTCGCGCATGGCCGCTCGCACCCCACTTCTAAATGTACGGCCGTGTCCAACGCGAGCCGGCGCGCAAGTCGAAGTATGAAAGCAGCCAATGGAAGTAGATTGATGGATACATTCCTAAATGAGATCATAGCTCGAAAAACTTCAAAGTTCGAAGATTAAATTGCTTAACAGCATGCTCTACTCGAAAGCTCATTCTAACCGTTTACTAAAAAGTTTTGTAGGTCTTTTGAAACATGCATAATCATCATATGTAGGGAGAAGTTTTGATGTTCACGTTTTAGGAGCTGGAACATCCAAACCAGAAGCCTGCCCCCGACCAACCATTTCCTCTGCCTTTGGCTCGCGAGAAGTCTACGATTCCTAAGGTAGGTAGGTCCGTTTTTGCGCTATTCTGCAGTGGATCTAGGAAGACTGTAGTGCCCCAAGATTAAATTACTTAGCTTTCTTCAGTTTACCGTGAAACACGAATTTGATTTGATTCGAAGCAACTTTGATTTCCTGACCTTGGTGTCGAATATTCTCATGTCTTTCAGGCTGGAACAAATGATACGTGGACATACCCTAGTCCCCAAATGTTTTGGAATGCTATGTTGAAGTAAGTTTAGATGAGTTGTACTTTTTGAATTGCATTTGCTCCTCGAAATGTTATTTGTCATCAGATCTCTACTATTACTAATGTGCTCTACTACTTTTAGAAAAGGATGGCGTTGGCAGGACGACCAACTCACTGCAAAGGACATGGAAAACATCATTCGAATACATAACGCCAACAATGAAGAGGCATGGCGAGAGGTGCTAAAATGGGAGAATCTCTTACATCCGTGCGTTAATCCATTCTCCTTTAACCTTCCCCTTTGAAGAAAACTCGTTTTTTGAAAATAAGTGGTTACTTGAAGTAGGACACCAATTATTGTTTCTACTGTTAGTAAAGAAAGCTTATCAATAAGGCTACAAATATAATTCATGCGTAGTCACGTCATTAAGTTCCGGATAAATTTTTTTCCTTCGTGGAGCAAAATTTTACCATCACTCAGTCGATTATCTAGGCATTTAGTGAATGTGCTGAGCCTAAGCTGAAGAGCTTCAAAGGAGATGCAAAGAAAATTTCACCTCGTGCTCGATTCCGTAAATTGTTCCTGGGTTACAATCTCCCGTTTGACCGGCATGACTGGATAGTTGATAGGTGTGGAGTTAAAGAGGTTTGTTTATGTTCTCCTATAAAACTTCCGTGATGCTGCCTATTGAAACATCCGCATTGATTTCAGGTGCAGTATGTCATTGATTACTACGATGGCGGTTCTGTTGATCCTCGTTCGAAGCTCTTCACGATTTTGGATGTGAGACCGGCGATGAATGATCTTGGAAACATTTGGGATAGGATGGTAGGAAAGCACTCATTTTCACTACTTCAATTTTATGTCATCACTTTCATGGATTCAGTACTCATGTACCCTAGACCCTAAATCTTGGTCTGATGAGAAGGAAGCAGGGCTTTATTTCAGGTAGTCGCTTACTGGCGTTTCAAGTTTGACGTTTTGGGAATGACACCAAAACTGCCTATTCCACCAACTGAGGATGATGCTCATGCTTAGGATACTCACCAACGTCAACTATTCAGAATAAAGCCGAGCTTTTAAATGGTTTACGTTTTAAAGTCCTTTTCTGAGAGTTATTTTTAGTTGAAGCTTCTAATTATATTTAGATTTTGGTTATGTACGAAACTTTTGATGAAATATGTTGATGGCCTCGCTACCTCGAATCAGTGGTTCTAAAGTGCGCTTGATTAAATAGTTCTAGAGTTTTTATTCGCAGATCTTCCGAATCACATAAATCCATTTACAATCAGTTGCTCAATCAGATAAATTGAGTAACAAGACTATAGGTAGGGCGAGATTAGCTGTAGTTTGTACTGCGTCTAGGTAGTACAATTTCTTTGTCAACTGTTGCATGTCCGCTTAGTGCGTAGAGTAGGTTCTAGTTATAGTGTTCTAAGTCTCGATCTATTAAAGATGTACATCTTTATTTGTTGGAAATACTTTGTTTTCTGTTTGACTTTTGAATGTGAGAGTTCTGTATGGATTCAATAAAGTTTTCCCCTAAAAGCACATGGTGATAGATTGTTCTTCGGCAATGTTGATATTTCAACACTGGAACATTTGCAAGGAAACCAGGCAGTTTACTGAGGTAAAATTTGTCGAATACTGTTGATAGTTTTTCACTTAGCAACCATAGAGAGGGAAAGAGCTCTTTACACATGTCTTGTACCTTCATATACTTCGAATAATTTTGAATAGTGTGTGAATTTGGATTTAAGGTCACACTTCTTATAGAGTTCAGTAGGATGTCACTGCTTTTCCGTGTGGCCGTACGTAGTCTGTCAGGACTCAATGGCCGAGTGCACTATGCTCACACATCCTTCTCTTCTGTTTTGAAGCACAATTTTCTCCAAGTTGCGTGAGTTTTTGATATTTTTTTTNTTTTTTTTCTCACAATTGCGATCCTGCAGGTTTTTGAAAGGTACGGTAGCAACATACATGGCGTCAACAACTAATTTATTAAACTAGAGTTTACTCACTTTTTTAATCCCACCCGCTTGCTTTTGAATGAAGCTTCCTCGGTTTACTTTTGTAAAAGGTTCTACATGGATAGCGTTTTGAAAATTGCAAATCATTGTCCTAATCGTTCCTTAGTTTGTTTCCGACTAATTTTTGAAGTGTTCGATTTTTACGGACCTAATGTATTTACTGGTCGTTTTTTTTTGTTAGTTCACATTTGTAAGTACTCGACATTTGTGTGGTCTTAAAAATGTTACATTTTCTTTAAAGGAAGGATCCAGCGCGTCGTTTTGGAATCGATGTATCTGGAGTGAATGAGCAGCAGCGCAAACGAGTAGGTTACTGGTTGATCCTATGTGCTGGAATGTGCTATGGCGCTGTTGCCATAGGTGGACTTACTAGGTATGAAAGGGCGACATTAAACAGGTGAATGCTCGATTTTTAGTAAACTTCTTTCTTTGCAGATTAACAGAGTCCGGCCTGAGCATGGTGAACTGGGATTTATTCCGCACGATGAAACCTCCATTAAGTCAGAAGGAATGGGAAGAGGAGTTTGAACGTTACAAATCGTATCCTGAGTATAAGTAGTAAGTTACTGATCCACAATCTATTGTCAGATGCAGTTGAACGGTGTACAAGTTTCACAGTCAGATTAGTTTAGCAAGTCGTCAAACGAAGAAATGACTTTGGCCCAGTTCAAATTTATTTGGCACATGGAGTACGGCCATCGCATGTGGGGCCGCATCACCGGAATTGTAGGTAGCTTCCCCATCCTCATCCTCCATGTCGTGAGATTTTCACCATTACAGATTTTTTTGCTGCCTTGCGCATACTTTTGGGCTCGCGGATACTTTCCCACCACAATGAAGAGGCGTATGGCCATTGCCACAGCACTCATCATTGCACAGGTTAGTATGCAGTTGATATCACTCCCTCCCATTTAGTTAAAGCGCGCAAAAGCGCTTCGCCCAGGATTTTTAAATACAGATTAGATGAAAAGTAACCAGCCTACCTTTGAGCTGCCCTGATTGAGTATTTTTCGTATTCTTAATTGTTTGATAGTGATGACTAAACAGAATTATATAATACTAATGAAACACCAGTGATTGATGGAGAACATCTCGAAGTTAGGGCCAGTGAATATCATCGATAAAGGCACTTATGTTCAAATATGTTTTATAGGGCGCTATCGGGTGGTGGATGGTTAAGTCGGGCTTGGATCCTTCAAACAATTCCGAGTCTAGTGTCCCGAGAGTATCTCAGTATCGACTTGCAACTCATCTTACTATGGCTTTCCTGCTCTACTCCCTTTTCCTGTACAATGGAATTAGTCACTTTGTATCGCCTCAGTCACAGGTTCTCTTTAGTCATCTTTCTTACCTTCTTTGCTTTGCCATTAGTTGGGTACAAAAATGCGAATTTCAGTTGGCGAATTTGCCTAATTTCCGTAAGTTACGCATATTATCACACAGTTCCAAAGGACTCGTTTTCTTAACTGCATTCATGGGTGAGTTGTATAGACTTTGTGACGAAGCTTTTGAAAGAAGGGTTTAGCGAAATTTTCTAAAAATGGTAAGAGGTCTGCTACTTTTCAGGAGCATTTGTCGCAGGATTGGATGCTGGTTTGGTTTATAATTCATGGCCCAAATTTGCTGACTCCTGGATACCAGAAAATATGCTCTCACGATCCCCGACATGGAAGAATTTCTTCGAGAATGATGTTACCACACAGTTCATTCACAGAAATCTGGTGAGTTAATACAGTTCGCATCTATCAACCCGAAAACGTAGCCCTGCGAAAGTTGCTTGATTTAGAGCCTCAGATTTTTTTTTAGTTCTCCCTGCCAAATTTTTGCATTTGTTTTAATCAATTTCGTTGGATAGACTGGCTAATTATGATAACCGCACTTTGCCTGTTCTCTGGGATCTGTTTACTCCGTTCTGTAAACTTCTGAAGGAGGCGAAATATGTTTCGTGACAGATCAGACTCATTTTAGGAATGTAGTTTTGCATAAAAATGAAATTTAGCGACTAGTTGGCTTACCAGCATATAAAGAAGTCCACCTACTACCATTAGAGACCTTCTTTCCAGTATGCTATTGTTTTAGCAGATGCGCAGTTGGTTAGTGTGGTAATGAATACGTGGTAATTGAGTTCAGTGTCTTTCACTGATATCACATCGAGACCTATACCTATTAATTTTTATTCCTCCTACGTGGTTATAATTCTTGAATCCCATGTAAAGGAGTCTTTATCTTCGATGAGAAAAAAAACATTGCACAGTGCCCCTAAAACTAGGATGCCGGAACCTCACGGTTTCAAAACTGTAGAATGTTGGAACTATTACTGAATGCAATAGTCTTGATACACTCGGGTGAACTTTTTAATGTTTTGGCAATTTTAACTTTGAACTTTTACTCATCAAACTAACAAGTTGTAAGTTCTTCTTATTACCTACGATATTCATCCAAAGGGAAGGCAAGCCGGCTACTCCCTTCTCCCGAAAGAGTAAGGCTGTGAGTTGAAAAAGTCAGCTATTACCATCTTTAGATCATCGGAAAAGGCCGACTTTTTCTAGCCAGGAAGTGCTTGAGAAGCTTAAAGGAAATAGAATGGTTGAGATCAGGAGAATAAGAAGGGTGTGGAACAGTAGTAAGCCAAAGCTCTGTAACAAGGACCTGTCGCCCTCGCGACGTGAGGCCGAGCGTAACCATCGGGTGTGGAGCATTATGTATGAACGAAACGGTCGTGCGCGGCGAAAGTTGCGTCGCGCCCGACCGTTTCGTGGCAAGTAAGAATGCAGCAGCAAGTAAGATCTACAGGAACAAAAGAACTAACAGTAGAATATGCTATAAGTAATAATCGCATAGCGATTGAGCTGTATGAAAAACGCTAGAACTGTTATAACGAGGAAAATGGTCCGCGACAGCCGTGTGCGGCGGATCGATTACGCAAAACCGTTCCTACTTCCCGTCTCTCGTAACCGTCAGCCTTATATTAAGAAATCAGCTGAACGAACTGACTGGTTGCGAAAGTACCTGCAGTAGTGTAGGGTTTATTGTGTGAGAAATTAGTGATCGTTTTTTCGGGTCTTACTAGATAGTCCTACCTCAGATATACCTACTCTCTTGCTTACTCTACAAATACTTTATTCAGGAGCATTTAAGTACATTATTTATGAATGAAAAGTTTTAATTTCGGCTGGATGTAGTGTTTCATTGTGTAAAGGATAACGGTCACAAACTTCCAGGGGTACTTGACGCTGTTAACAATCACCGCCACATGGCTGGTCGGATGTCGAATGCGTTTGAACCGTCGGGCGAAGATCGCCCTTCACGCCACAATGGCTATGGGCTACGGTCAGGTGCTGCTTGGTATCTATACGTTGGTGGGTTACTTCATTTTTGTTGTCAGCGATTCGCAGCTGGCTTGCCGTTAGTGAGATACTTTCGACTCACATTGATTGGAATCGATTTTTCAGTTGTACTATGTGCCAGTCTGGCTGGCATCACTCCATCAGTGTGGTTCCATGACTCTTTTGGCGTTTACGTTGTGGCTCACCAATGAGCTTCGCCGCATACCTAAATGATTTTGTAATGTCCTTTCCGTTAATGTTAGTCAGTCGACATTAGCGTCTGTTCGAGTTATTTTGATCTTTTTGTTGCCATACCAAAGTTATATTCTGTTTTGGTGTCTGTTAAGTGGTTGCTAATTTGTTGCGTATTAGGTTCATGTTACTGGTAGGAATTACCCGTTGTGTAGATACTTTTCAATACCGGTGGAATTGTTGTCACGATTTGAAGGTTGTTACGTAGTATATTTGAAGTCGAAGCAATTAAAGAGCTTGGCTTAAATTAGTTTGGAACATTTTTAATTTATTGGCTAGCATTGAACTATTTAAGAATATAGCGCTGGATAGACGTCATTTCTCACATCACCATTTTAGTTCTGCCGTACCCGTACGTAAAAGGACAGAGGGACAATGCATCCTCATACGATGAGGCTCTGTGTGGAGGTAAGTCGAGCGTTTGACATTCGTACGACATTTAAAGTCGCATCATAAAGTTCACTATGCCACCATTCGTCATCATGTGGAACTTCAATTTGTGTTGGGTTAGTAATTCGCAGACCTTAGTGCGAGGGCTGTATGTTTTGGTTCTCACCACTTGGGCAGGAGTATAACCAACATGCTTGCTTGGCTCAGCACATTCGGGGATAGGAAGTATGTGACGTATATTGGGACAAAAGGGCATTAGACATTGGTAACATGCATCTGCTCTTCAAGAAGATTTTGAGTTGGACTTTGAGCTTCTTCTCGATATAACCCATCTAACCTGGGGTGACTTCCATATTCTCTTTTGTTAAGGCCCATGTATTTGTTGCTTAAGAGTACCCAGCGCTTATCTACGCCAAGCAGGTTTTTTTTGTGTTGTTCGACATCTGTATCGAGTGACATTTCGATATGTACGTCATTTTCCGATGTAACCTCGTAACTGCGGCTGAACCCTTCGAATCTTATCTTAACCAACTCCACTTACCACGAAAACCTCGTCTACCTGAGAAATTAGATTGGAATCACAGAGTTATTGGCGCCTGGATAGCTCTTAATGGGGAAGTCACGGAATGAACGGCATTATTGTTGCCCATCTTACCGCACTTAATGGATTCCGTCAAAGCGTTTTAAATCCATTCAGTGTTGAGTAGAAAATAGTACAAACAACGGAAACAACGGCGTGACAAAAGCCTGTATCGCTGCGATCACACTTACACAGTGGCAATTGCGAATTAGTCTGACCAGTTCTATTGAGTCGAACTCTTTCCACATCGTGGACTACTACGCGCAAGAGCCTCTCACTAGCCAAAAGAGCATGAGAAAAGCAAAGTCGAAAAGTGACTGCTAGTACTACTTGACGGGCGAACACCCTTGAGCTGCCAACTGCCCTAATGACTTATCTACTCAAAAATAGGTGCTCTTTCTATGAAAAGTCAAGATACGACGAAAACCTGAGGTAACATTGGTCGTGAATGGACCCAGAACACTTTGAAATGGAAAACCCTTTCTTCTTAAAATAGCCACACAAAAAACTCAAGGCATTCTCGAACTTTTTTGTTTTCGAATTATTGTTTATTTGTTTTAACGCCACAATTTGAAAGACCAAGAATAACGATTTTTTCACTCCGTCCAATTTATCTGCATTAATCCTTTAGTCACTACTTACCAGTTAAAGGTACAGTGGTGGCGACATGTGTTCGCCAGAATAGTTTTTTTTTTCTGAAATCGTTCCATTCACTTCCAAATTTTGTGCCATAGCCCTCAAGAATGGCGGAAGTGGTAAAGTAGCAAGTGACATGGTCCGGGAATTGACTCCCGGATCGATAAGCGCCTACGTCCAGAATACCTTATTCCTTCGGGGTCGATTGATTGGTGCCAGACTCGTCTGTGAGGATAAAGGCATCGACTTGTGCATTGTCTAGCCACAGCAAATAATTGTATACTTCACGTACGCATCCGAATCGCCACTACGATTTTGGATGGGAGTCAAATGCGCGGCGTTTCCCAGAAACGGGATTGAGTAACGCCAGAAACTTTATCTTTCATCCTTTAGTCTTCAACACGTCAAAAATTCAAATTGTACCTCTATAATGCTGTATGGTGGTTGCCGACTAATGAAAAAAGCTGTGTCGGCGTATGGGAATATTTTGGGAGTTGTGGGACTTTCCTTCACACCTGAATATCATGAGATTTGCCTTTCCCAAGAGCTGAGCTACTAATAATTGATTAGGTTCATAAGCGCTTCTTTTGAGTAGGTCTCAGAAGACAGACTCTCAGAACATGTGGCGTACCTCACACAGACACGATCACGGGTTCGAATCCAGCATCGATATCCACTTAGACTAACCAAGCCTTCCATCCCTCCAGGATTGGGTAATTGGAACCAGACTCTTTGGGAGGACAAAAACCCTGATTTATACATCGGCTGGCCACCACAACTCATTGTATTTCTTTCTGGATTTTCGAACATCCAACTTCTCAGTTATGCCACATCTAGAGCTGGGAAGTTTCAGGCACGATCTAAATGTCACCTATAAACAACCTGAAGAATAGTGCTTTGCTTTCTCGTCTGAGTGTTTTCAAACTTTTTAATGAAGCGCAGTTGGTGGAAGTGCCGTTAAGCAAGGTTTCCAAGGTTGACTCCAGAATGTCTGCATGTTCGAATTTTATTATAAATCATAGATATGTACATTCGAGCCTAACTAGCGCGAACATTAACTTATGAGAGAAGGTCATTGATAGTAAAACAATGCAATTCTGAAATTCTTCTAGTTTTTCCACTTAATTGTTCATTCTATGTAGGCTTGAAGCGAACTCATTTTTTCTTTTGGGGCAAACATCGAAGTAATGCGATCTTATATTAGAATGATCGGGATGTCTCAGAGCCTGTTAGTTATAACTAAGTACGGATCGAAAGCGCCCACAGTATATTCACTTTCTTTCGAGACTCCGCAATCTATCAGTATGGGCTTCTTAACATATATTCATACCGGTCGTAACCGGATTGGTAATTGGGTCGTATGAGAGCAACCCGTTTTCTTGAGGTTGCCTTTCTGGCCCTCTCGCTCAGCTGCTTTATTTATCAGCTATTATTGAAATTATATCATTACCATTACTGATATAGACGTAAAGTTTCTGGCAACTCTCTTTTTTCTTAATCTTTCCACTGGGGTCAATTTCACTTCAAATCGTAGCGGTTACTTCGCTTTCGGTCTCACTTGCGTTTGCCAGCTAATGTAAAGTATGTTTTTTTTTCTTCCGAAACGAGTTTGATACGCATCAATCCAACTGAAATGAAAGAAAACCTTGTGGGCTTCAAGTGTACTACTCATTTGGTCTTGGATTTGTTCCATAAATCTTCCAAAAAGTGGTAAAAGTTATTACAAAAAAGGGCGTAGAATTATTTAGCTTTTTTCTACAGGTGCGTATGACCTATACTTCTAAATTACTGCGCTTATCCCTTTACAACTGAACGACATCAGGTACCTATTATATGTTCAATCCTTCTTACAGCTACTAACCACTCCATTCCTGCTTATTCGGTCATCAAACTTTGTATCACCAAACTAGTTTGAAACGATAAGCACATCATGGAGAACAAAAGCCAATCATTGCTGATCGCCTTGCAAGTCTCTATCTGTTTACCGGTTGTTTCGTCCGACAAGTCTGTCTGTAGCAGGCAGCTAATAGATGTGGAATAAATTTCGTAGAGAAATACCTAGTCATTGTAGGGTAGACTTTGAAACGTTGCTAATTTACTGTGATACGGTCCTGTTAATAATCGAATGTAAGTTCACTCGCGTTATTTCTACACTCAGCACTAGACTCATCCCAGGGATTGGAAGCCTGTTTTATATGTCTGCTCGCCATTGCAATTCATTGTATAGGACCTATACGCATTCGAAGCGCTATTACGACTCTGAATAGAAGTCGTATGCGATGCGCATCCTGAAAAGGATCGGTCAACTTGCCAAAACGGTTTATTTCTTGAGTTTAACTACACGAACTTTATTGACAAATGCTGTTCGAATTTGTTATTATCCTTCACCAGACCCAATTACCTGAATTCCTATCATAAATCACTTTACCGGAGCCTTGGTCGTAATCAATCCCGGCTTATATCCCGTGCTCCTATGCATTCGATTTCCATTTAGAATTTTAGTGCCGTATTGAATGCGTATGTGGCCTATACAATGGCTTGCGATGGCCAGTCCATGTACAGGTCTGTTGTTTTATCCTCATAGGCGAATCTGGCACGAATTGACCGATCCCGGAGGGATAGAAGGCTCGGTTAGCCCAGGCGGAATCGATCCGGGATTCGAACACATGACCATGCGTGTGTGAAGTGCGTCGGGAGGCGGGCAGTAGGAACGGTTTTGTGTAATCGATACGCCGCACGCGGCTGTCGCGGACCTTTTGCCTCGTTATGACAG